TTGTTTAAATGAGAAAAAATACTTCAATATATTTTATAAGTTAGTAAAAGTTATTTTTAAAATGTTATGTATTTTTATCCAATTTATGAAGTTTTGTAAATTGATTTAAATTAGCGCTACACATGGTCGCTTTCCAAAACACAACTAAAACCGAAATAACCCACAATTTTATGCTAAATTAGTGTTAAAAACATTGTCAGTCACTCACGTAATGATTTGATTATGATCAATTAAAGTATATCAACAGTAAAGTATCAGCAAATTTTAATAAAAATTGATATTTTTTGGTTTATTAGGTATTTTCTATTATCGATTACAAAAACAACAAATAGTTTCACTTTTCGTGTTTTAATTACTGTATAACGAAATGCGAGTAAAAATGAAATGAAAATTACTTTTAAAATAGAAATGAGAATTTTTAAATCTTATAAAATTGTTTACTCAACCATTTAATTCGTAAACAAAAATTATCGATTCCTAAACATCTAAATATAAATCAAATCTAAAAAATGGTTTATTAAATAAATAAATACTCTTTCAATTTGTTACATAAAAGCTACAAAAGCAAAGGTATTTGTAAAAAGCGAATTACACATTATATTATCACTAATAATAAATATATACATAAAATATATTAATGAAATTAGTTTTCGAATTTACTTTTTTAATAAAACATTTTTATTAACATATTCTCAATTTTAAGATCAATTTAATCTATATATTAATGACTAAATTATACCCAATTATTAATGATAACAAAATATAATTTTGGAAATGGATTAGCAAATTAGAAACTCATTTTTCTTGACATTTGGGAATGTTATGCAAAAAATTGAGAAAATACAGCAATAATAATAATAATGGTATAGTTATAGTATAGGCACTCAATTATAAACTATTCACGTATTTTGGTTTTAAAATATACTAAATTACAAATAATAGCAGCAATTTGTGAGTTATTCTCCAATTATTACGCAATTCAATGATAGGATGACATCAAAAGAAGTTATTTCATTATAAGTGATGATAAATATAATAGTTTATTAACACAAGAGTGGATGCAATTTCGATGTGTGTTTGACTATTAACTCAACTAATATTACTATTATTGGTTTCAGATTGTGTCACAAGGTATGGGTCGTGGCTTTTATGAGTTAATAGCTGCGGATCCGGTGAGAAGAGTTCAGACTTTCGCCGCAGTAATGGTTTGTCACGTTTTATCATCTTTTTCGCCTAAATTGTTAATAAAATACCATTAATTAATAATTTCCTTAAATATAGTCATCTCAACGGCATTGAGAACTCACTTCTTTAGCTTCGGTCTCAAACTTCTCGTAAGAGATGTCTTCGTAGTCATCGTTTGGCGATAACATATCGTTCGGGTTTTGATGATTCAAATTGTAGGTTAAGTCTAGACTTATGTCTCCCTTTTGTTTCAAATCTAAGAAATATGGATTACTTTGTGCCAAACCCTCGATCTTATTCCACGCATCGTCTCTGGTCTTCAGTTTGGATTTCTCGCTAAATAAACACAAAAACTTTGTTATAAACATTGTTTGTTAAACATTGTTAAATTTGTTATTGAAATTTGTGGACAATTATAATTGCAAACAAAAACAATTGTCTTACAAATGTCTTTCCTGTTTGTAATTCTGAACGCATTCATCAAACAATCTTTGATTCATTTCCATAAAGAGTTTGAGCGCATTGTATATCAATCCATGGATAGTCTTATTAAACAAAAACAATTGTCTTACAAATGTCTTTCCTGTTTGTAATTCTGAACGCATTCATCAAACAATCTTTGATTCATTTCCATAAAGAGTTTGAGCGCATTGTATATCAATCCATGGATAGTCTTATTCCAGTGGGACTTTGAGTTGCGATACAACGCGGGAAACATAATGGGCAATATTGTGGTCGCGTTATCTGTTATTAAACTCATGATATACTCGTTGTTCCAGTAATAGAGGGCCCTTTCGGCCACTTGAAAGTGTGGCGAAGACACGCATTTGGTCAGCTGTCGGAACAGCGGAGTCATCACTTTCTGGAACTCTGCCGGTTCTATCACATCCAGAATCTCTTCCAATTCGTTCAAAAACATCACTTCTTTAGGGCTGTGAACCTTTGGCCAGAACTTCATCAGACTTACGATTACCTATCATTCAACACAATTATGGTTAAATAGTTTTCAATAGTAATTCAATTCAATTGATATACATTTTCTGTAAGACTGGGGTCTTTTTCGAGAAACTGGACGACACAATAGGCCAGTTGTGGGTGATATACACTCAATGATTTCACTTTATGTAAAGGCATCAACACTTTAAGTAGAAAAATCTTGTGTTCGTCCTTAAGGGGTAACGCAAATCCATTGATAATACTTCAGACAATAGAAACACTCAATTAATATCTCTATGAGAAATAATGTGAGACAATGACTGGAACCGATACAAACCTGCCTAAGATCTCGAGCAGTTCGGCGACTCCATTATGGCGTTCCGTTTCGTATATAAATCGATAAAATATATTATTTATTTGTTTCCTAATATAAGCCCTCAATCCTAGAAATTTGCCATAAATTCGATGTAAAGTAGTCTTAAGGAAATCCCTTTCGCGCGGGTCTTCGCTATCAAACAAATCGAGTAACTGTTGAGATAAACAACATAAGCGTTAAAACCATTAGATATGACAAAAACAGGTCATTTAGTCGATTACCTGAAGAACAAACTTCTGTTCGATGTTCTTCTTCGCGACATTTGGCTGAAAATCTGGTGATTCGAGAAACCGTAGGAAGAATTCGTAGACTAATTGCAAGTGAGGCCACGCGGCCTCCAGTGTCGGCTCGTCCTCTTCCGGATCAAACTCAGCGCCGTTTGGGTTGGAAGAGGGGGGGAGTGTTCGGAACACATTCACTCCAAACTGTCCAAAACAACAAATACATTAGTCAATCACTAATTCTATTATTTTCATTACCCGTTCATAATTAAACACTAAATAAATCGTGATTACATTATTAACGTAACAATCATTTATCAATTAATGAACTATAAATTTCTCGGTAAAAAAAGAAGGAAATCTTGTAATTGGAGTAAAAGTGTGTAAAATAATGAATAAAATATTGTTTTTTAAAAACATTAATTTTTGGCTCAAAGCCATTAGTTATCGAGAAATACTTTAAAAACGAAAACTAATGATATTTCAAAATCTATTAAAACGTTTGTGTTTTGGAAGTCTAAACAAATATAAAGTTTAGTTCGCAATCAGAGATACGGATAATAATAATTTGTTGTCAAATATAACTACAAATCATCGCATTTTGAGTAGTTTTGTGTGAAAGAGATCACTCATGAGAAGTGATAAAATAAATGAATTTAGATGTTGTCCCATATTTTAAAGCCAGTTTACAATCAAAGCTGATTAAAATAATCTACAAATCATCGCATTTTGAGTAGTTTTGTGTGAAAGAGATCACTCATGAGAAGTGATAAAATAAATGAATTTAGATGTTGTCCCATATTTTAAAGCCAGTTTACAATCAAAGCTGATTAAAATAAATCATTTTGCTTTCAAGTAATTATTGTAATTAAAGACACAAATATTTAATTAATTTGAAAAATGACATAAAATTAATTTCGCATTTTTTCACAAAACACTTTCAGACAAATGTGTCAAAAAAGTTATTTGAAAAAATACTAATTGTGTCGAAAAAGCACTTTCAGGAAAATCATTGAAATTGTAATATCTTTTGTTTCTCTCAATAGCTATTTATGCCTAAACTTGAAACCAATGCATAAACAGAAATAAAAATAAGTTTAAAATAAAATCTTCAGTTACTTACATTGTTTTTATCTGTGGTTTTGTTCGACAAATATTTTATTCGTTTATAAAATATTTAATACCTATTTACTTTGTAACCCAAACTGACATTCATGTGTTTGTCATCAAGTAATATCACGACAAACATTCTCATCATTTCTTAAGGCATTAAAATCTTATCTTATGTTAAAATACAATTTCTTATCATTAGTTTCAATATAGAGTACAATCATATGTAAGAGATTAATATTTGAGGCCTTGTTTTGCATTTTGTAACATAAAATGTAAGTAAAAATCGGGATTTATTTTCATATAACCGCCGTTTGTATAGTATTACTACTGAAATACTTGCGTATAATTGTATCATTGAATGTAAGCCTTTAGTCAAATGCTTTTGGATATGATTTGCGGACAAATCAATGATAATCAACATTATTATCGATAAATGAATTATATTTTATAAATATAATAATTAATGTGAATTTTTATATCCTTCCCATAAAACTCTTATTTTATTTCGTAAAACAATAAAAAAATTCTCATTATTTCATTATTCTGTTGCCGTAAATAAAGTCTTAAAAATGATTCATTTGATTAAAACCTATCATTTCATTGAGAATTAGCGAAATTATGCAATTAATTATTTCTAACGTCTAATCAATTACTATTTAATATTAGTGAATATCTCTTCACATTTACATTTAACTCCAGTTTCAGACAAAAGTTTTAATTAAAATATAAAATTTCAAAACAAATATTGGTATCAATATTGAGCGGCAGTTATCATAAAGTTTATGTCGACTCCAATTAACATTACGTTTAATTCGCGTATAAAATAATTTAATAACACTATCCGTAAACACAATTCACTAAAAAACAAGAGATCATTAAAAATAGGGATTAAAATGAAAACTAAACAAAAACTTTTCTATGAATTAAAACGTATGAAAATTTGAGATATTTTTGATGTGAAACCGGAGTTTCATTTAAATGTCATTTTTCTACGGATTGCGAGCTTTTAATAGAGACTCAAAATTGTGAATATAAGATGAAAACCTATTTATAAACTCAGAAATATTTGCATTCAAAACAAAATAAACTTCAAATTTGTATAGAAATAAATGGCATATAAAATGCATAACATTTGATAAAACAACTCAAATCGACTGACGGGTAGACAATGTAATGGCAATAAAAAACAAATATAAATCAATTGATACCATATTAACGACTTCTGGGTATATGTTTTCGGTGATGACATTCCTCTGAGTCATGATATACTCGACGAGTTCGTGAAGAGCGGCTCTTTTCACTTCTTTCCATTTCAGATCACTTAAGGGATCCGTCGCGAAGTCAAACAACACACAGCATTGGTTCAGTTTTTGGATAAACAGATCCTCGCGTTCGGCGACTGTGGCGTCCTTAAGAGCCGGCAGTTTCTGGATCTCACGGTTTTGGCTGATGTTGAACCGCGACGACGACTGTCTCCGCGACGTCTTCAGTGTCGGCGAAACACCAGAATATTTTGCCTTCAAATTTGTTTGCGTTGAGTTCAGAGAGTTTGGACACACTTTCATTGTCTCGTTTACGTAACTGTTGTTATTGTTCCTCTTCTCCACCTGAAAAGACAAACAATATAAGCATTTCATTCAAATATATCCACAATCGAGTCAAACATCTGGCAATCAATTCATCCAAATGTAAGCTATATTTTAATCGTAAACTTAATTCACTAAATATATCGACAATAAACTCAATTAACTGCTCAAACATTGGGTAAATGATAATCAAATCAATGGCAACGAGTGATCATAAAAAGTGGCCATTTTTTCATTAGTCTTGAAATGCAATGAATTGATGACAGGATTGCGATAATCATTGATAATCTCATACCTCATCGTTGGTCTCATTGTTTTCCTTCTGGTTTTGGTCTCTATTGTTGTTTGAGTTGTTTTTGACACCAATCTAGACGTCAAACAAATCCAACAGACAATTAGTGTTTGCAAAACAACTATTCAATCAAATTAAATGTGAAAAACAATCGCTTTTTCGCAATCAAAACAATAGTTTTGTGTATAAATTGTGATACAATTGACATTGAAATGAAGACACGGCACGAAATGTGTGTAATATAGTGTGTGAATAGGTTTAGGGATGACTTACTTTATCCTTTTTGGGCTTATTTGGCATTTTGTGACCAAATAGTGATTTACAAAATAACAAATCAATTCAATTAATTGTGTTTCAAAACATAGACATCAATACAAGTGATGAACGCAATGAATGGCAACGCATAGTATGTGTAGTCTATGTGTAGTGAACGCCACTCTCGATACAGACATTACACTCTATCACAGTCTGTATGCCATACAGTGTATGCATCAAACAGTGTAGTCATAAAAGGGATCATATCATCACTACATTCAACACAACCAATGCCTGCCATCCCTATTCAGTGCCCATTGAGTGNCATTAATTATTATATTTATAAAATATAATTCATTTATCGATAATAATGTTGATTATCAATGATTTGTCCGCAAATCATATCCAAAAGCATTTGACTAAAGGCTTACATTCAATGATACAATTATACGCAAGTATTTCAGTAGTAATACTATACAAACGGCGGTTATATGAAAATAAATCCCGATTTTTACTTACATTTTATGTTACAAAATGCAAAACAAGGCCTCAAATATTAATCTCTTACATATGATTGTACTCTATATTGAAACTAATGATAAGAAATTGTATTTTAACATAAGATAAGATTTTAATGCCTTAAGAAATGATGAGAATGTTTGTCGTGTATAATGAACTACTGTTTGTGTACTTACAGTCAAACCCAATGTTTCATTTATCCATAATTTATAAAATATTTGCTTATTTTATAAACAGCTTGTTTTGGTGTCTATTTTTGTTACATTCATTGACTTTATTTTATTTTAAACTTATTTTTATTTCTGTTTATGCATTGGTTTCAAGTTTAGGCATAAATAGCTATTGAAAGAGAAACAAAAGATATTACGAATTCAATGATTTTTCTGAAAGTGCTTTTTCGACACAATTAATATTTTTTCAAATAACTTTTTTGACACATTTGTCTGAAAGTGTTTTCTGGAAAAATGCGAAATTCATTTTATGTCATATTTTTCAAATTAATTAAATATTTGTGTCTTTAATTACAATAATTACTTGAAAGCAAAATGGCTTATTTTAATCAGCTTTGATTGTAAACTGGCTTTAAAATATGGGACAACATCTAAATTCATTTATTTTATCACTTCTCATGAGTGATCTCTTTCACACAAAACTACTCAAAATGCGATGATTTGTAG